AAACTTGTGCTCCCTATGAACCCTGAACCAAACCCTTAAGCCCAACACACAAAGCCCTAAACCCTGAACCCTTGCCCCCTGTACACGCTATACACCCTATAAACCCGATAAACTCCATACAAGCCCTATGAACCTTAAACCCTAAACCCTAAACCCTAAACCCTAACCCCATAAGGCCAAGAAGCTCTAAACCCTCACCTGCCCTATCTCAGTCGAAAGGCCCGCAGCGAGTACAGCGGGATGGACGCCAGCTCAAGGACCTGGGGGTTTAGGGTTTAGGGTTTAGGGTTTAGGTATAAGGTCTAGGGTCCAAGGCCCTGAACCCGAAACCCCAAAGCTTGAAGGGCTTCGCCTTGATAAGTCTTCAAGTGCTTCGGCGCAACCTTCATGGCCAGCCGAACCCGAAAACACCAAACCAAGCTGTCCCGAAGCTCAAAACCCCCGGGCCCGGTACCACACACTGTGTCCTTCAGACCCCATAAACCCCATAACCCCAGAAGCCCTAAACCCTAAACCCTAAACTCTAAACCCTAAACCCTAAACCGGGACCCCGAGGCCCCTGAATCCTAATCCCAGCCTGAATCCTAAACCCGCAGCCCGAACATCCCAAGCCCGAAGCCCAACCCCCAAACCCAAAAATTGGGTTTAGGGGTTTAGGGTTTAGGGCTTAGGGTTTAGGGAAAGGACTCTGGGCTTCATTCGGGTTGAGGATCAGGCTGAGAGCGAAAACGAGCACCAAACACCCTCAGTACGCACAGGACTGGCTGGTTCCTGATTAGTAGGGAATGAGGGAATGAGGGCCCTTTATAATCCCTCAAAGGGTATATCTCGGGCCCTCATTCCCTCATTCCCTACTAAGAAACCAAGGGGGAGGAAGGCTGGGACTGCCCGCGAACTGCTCGGGTGCGTCCCACACCTCCCCTGCGCGGAGTCCAGGTGCTTGGGGGGGTTAGGGTTTAGGGTTTAGGGTTTAGGGTTTAGGGTTTAGGGTTTAGGGTTTAGGGTTTAGGGTTTAGGGTTTAGGGTTTAGGGTTTAGGTTTGAGGGTTTAGGGTTTAAAGTTTAGGGCTTAGGGTCTAGATTGTAGGGCTTTTAGAGTTGGCTCGTCGCCTATCGTTGCCCCATGGCTTTTCACCTACCGCACGGCTATCCTATCGTATTTAAATACTTCGATCATTTTGGCGCGTCCCTTTATCGATCCTGGTTACCTCAAAACCCACTACTCCCTAAGGCTCCCTACGCTTCCCTAAGGTTCCCTAGGTACCTAAACCCTAAACCCTAAACCCTAAACCCTAAACCCTAAACCCTAAACCCTAAGGGCCGAGAACTAGAGCTCAGGGTTTAGGGGCCCTCGAGGATGGGGAACTTTGCTTACAGACTCAGGGTTTAGGGTTGAGGGTTGAGGGTTTAGGGTTTAGGGTTTAGGGTTGCATCGGCGTTGACGTGCGGCCCGAGGAGACTTGTAAAGTGTCATATGAGCCCGGCAATGCCAGAACTAAACATTGAAACTTAGGATGTGCCCCCTTATACTAACAGGCCTTAATAGGGATTCTCGTACCCCCTATTATAATCCCCATGATGGACTGCTATTATAAGGGGGAACATCCCAAATTCGAACGCCGAACCCCGAAAACTCAGAAGTCCTGAACCCAAAACGCCTAAAGACTGAACCCAACGCCCCCACTGCCAATACCCCCCCCTCCCCGCCCAAACCTCAAAAAACACAAGCCAAGGGGGAACCCTAAACCCTAAATCCGAAACCCCAAACTCCAAGGCCTAAACCCTTCTGTTACCAAACCCTGTCTCCGCAAACATCACAAACGCCATGTAAACCCTGCAAAACCCTATAAACCCTACAAGGACCCAAACAAAACACCCTAAAACCTAAAAACTACAAACCCTACAAACCCCATAAACTCCAGAAATTCTAAACCCCCCTAAAAAAAACCCGAAACATGGAACAACATCTATAAACCAAAACAAAACAAAACTACGGAAGCTGTGGCCTTCGTGGAGGGGCTCCGACTTCTGGGACCCCTCGATGAGCCTGACTTCCCCACATCCAAGGGAAGTCTGCGGTCGGGTTTGGGGTTTAGGGTTTAAGGGTTTAAGGAGGGTTTAGGGTTCAGTGTCCGAAATTAGGGGGGGTTACCTTGCTTGGGGATCTTAGAATAAGAGTTGTACTATTATTTTTTTGGGGGGGGTCTACTAGAGGTACTCGGAGGTTCATGGTACTGATTAACCAACTAAATCAATATCTGAAATTATCACGGTACTTATGACCATATTAGGGCATTTAAGGGGCTTACAACTCAAGCCTCAACCATCAGCTACGACATCCCGGCTAACCTGTAAAGTTGAAGCGCAAGGCTTAACCCCCTCAAGGCCCAAACCCTTAAACCCTAAACCTTCAAGCCTCCACTCCCATGAGTGCCCGAAACCCCTAAATGCCCAAGCATGAATGACCAAGACCATATACCAAACCAAAAAGACGCTGTTCCCCTTTAAAACCTCTCAATGACCACCGCCCTCAACCCCTTACCCTAAACCCTAAACCCTAAACCCTAAACCCTGAACCCTAAACCCTAAACTTAAAAGGAACCCGACATCCCCACGTCCCCAAACCCCAAAGGTTCAGAACTGGCGAAGGAGCTGGAGGTCCGCGGACGTGGGCAGGTTCATCTGCAGCAGCTCGACCTCCCAAGCTTGTTTTGGCAGCGGTTACCCAAACCACGCTCACCAGGAGTCTAGGGTTTAGGGTTTAGGGTTTAGAGAAATTGGGATCCCCCAAAGATGCTCCCTACTACCTTTAGCAGTGAGATGTTTTGGGGCTTCCGCCCCCTGCTGATTGCCAGAACGAGAAGTTTTGTGAAATACAGGCCTTATAATTGTTCAACACCCAGTAGGACCTCTGTTGCCAGCATGCGAAAACCCTGACAAGCTTAGGTAAGCTTAGCAATCAGATGGTCGATGCCGCTAACTGATGCCTTCAACCCTAAACCCTAAACCCTAAACCCTAAACCCTAAACCATAAACCCTAAACCCTAAACCCTAAACCCAAACTCGTCAGAGCCTTCTCCGGCTGCATCTGCGAGTCGTCCATGGCAGCCACTGCTTCTAGAAGATGCGACCGCTCTGGCATCAGAGCCTCAGTGTCTCTAGACCCAGGAGTAGGGTTAAGGGTTAAGGGTTAAGGGTTTAGGGTTTAGGGTTTAGGGTTTAGGAATAAAAAAAAAGTATCCTTTTTGGGTGTTAAGGGGATTATGAGGGAAACCCAGCCGCAAAGAAAGGAAATAAGGGCCTACTCCGGCATCAGACCCCGATGCTTCTGGCAGAACTGGTAGGCCTATGAGGCTTGACGTTATCTTGCTGAAAGGCCAAAACCCTAAACCCTAAACCCTAAACCCCAACCCTAAACCCTAAACCCTAAACTCTAAACCCTAAACCCTGGGTTTAGATGCTTACAAGGGTTTGGGGGTTGTAGTATTTATTGGAGGCCCTGGGTGTTGTGGAAGGTTTAGGGTTTGGGGTTTAGGGTTTGAGGTTTAGGGTTTGGGGTTTGGGGTTTAGGGTTTGGGGTTTAGGGTTTAGGGTTTGGGGTTTAGGGTTTGGGGTTTAGGGTTTGGGGTTTAGGGTTTGGGGATTAATAGGGTTTCGAGATTGGGGTTCAGGAGGCTTAGGGGGATTACCGGGATTGAAGGAGCCCCTCAACATCAGAACTTGGGGTTTGGGGAGGAACATAGCACCCATTCCTTCATCCCCTATGCTAACCAACATTCATTGTATATCTTAAAAAGCTACGACTTCAAAACCTTTTTTCAAGGATTCCTAGGAAACATGATTGAAGGCAGGGGGGGGGGGGGGGGCACCAGCGCCCTAGAAAGCCCTAGGCATATTAGGGTTTAGGGTTTAGGGTTTAGGGTTTAGGGTTTAGGGTTTAGGGTTTAGGGACCCTAAACCCTAAACCCGAAAAAAGCCCTAGGCATATTAGAAGGTGAGAAAGAAGTGTAGCAAGATAGAGAAATAACAGCCTAAACGCCCTGAACCCTCTGAGCAATATTGAAAGTAACGTAAGATAGTAGAAACCCTAAACCCTAAACCCTAAGCCCTAAACCCTAAACATCAGACATGCGGCGAGCATGAACCAGAGCTGCCTGCGGCGCTTCTCGTCAAGGACCCGGCGCCGCTTCCTTTAGGGTTTAGGGTTTAGGGCTTGGGGTTTAGGGTTTAGGGTTTAGGGTTTAGGGTTTAGGGTTTTTGCTGCAGGTGTCGGCGCCCATGAGACAAGCTTCCCTTGAGAACCCCAAACCTACTTTGTGTAGGTTCCTATTATAACAACGAGTTATAGGATTCTTAGGTAACCTACAAAGAAGTAGGTTTTGGGTTCTTAAGGTCAGGCCTACACACAGGCCTTGTACCCAGGTAACACCTGAAACCTTACACCCCCAAACCCTGAACCCTAAAACCTTATAAACCCGAAACCCTGCAAAAAACTTCAGGGATGACTACAACATGACCAAAAAGGCACTACTTTGGGGCTACTTTACCAGCTTCCAGTTGGTGTGCTGGGCTTTCACTTTGATGCGAGCCCTAAACCCGAGTCCCTAAACTCTGTTCCTCTCATCTCTTTCAGGTAGATATTGAAACCCTAAACCCTAAACCCTAAAAGAAGTCCCAGGCACTCCATGCGAGGCCGCTGTGGTGAGGCGCCTCCACAGTTGCCTGCCTCACTCGAGAGGATGGATATACGGTTTGTTTAGGGTTTAGGGTTTGGGGTTTGGGGTTTGGGGTTTGGGGTTTAGGGTTTAGGGTTTAGGACGGCTATACGGTTTTGGGGCGGCTCAAGTTAAGGTTCAGTGAGCTAAGGCTTCGGGTTTGGGGTTAAGGGAACAAGTTTTCGGGTTCAGGGTTGAAGGATTTAAGCTTAGGGCTTTCGGGGTTGGAGAAAGAGTAAGTTCTTCGTTCTGGGTACCTACTTATGTGGCTTTGTTTGTAAGGAATTTACGGCACTTCCATCTGCAGTTGGGGTCTATGCAGGCTTCAGCGGTTAAGGCTTTCAGGGTTTCAGACTCAAATCATGAAGTCGGCTCAGTGTGTTCGCACGAGATTGCTCAAACGGAAGGGAACATTGAACCTCACACAGGATCCCAAACCGTAAGAAACGGGGGGGAAACCTTGATTTCACCATTCCACTCCCAGTGTGGGGGAGAGGGGAGGCAGGCGGGGGGGCTTCTCGGAACCCTAACCTCTAAAGCTGAAGCCCTAAAGCCGAAGCCCTAAACCCTAAACCCTAAACCCTAAACCCTAAACCCTAAACCCTAAACCCTAAACCCTAAACCCTAAACCCTAAACCCTAGGCGCCTCGGCGAAGTTGTTCTCCAGCTCATCCTGGTCGAAGAACGCACCGCCCTGCTCGAAGCGAAGCGCGGCAAACTCCCAGACCTCAGGGACTTCGTGTGGTCGGGGCTTTAGGAGCCTAAACCCTAAACCCTAAACCCTAAACCCTAAACCCTAAACCCTGTGTGGTTCAGGGATTAGGGACTTAGGGCTGTTGGGGGCTCTCGGAACTCAGGGACTGGGGTAGTTCTCTAATTTGGGCTCCTGATGTCAAGGATGCGGTACTAGACAGGGTTTAGGGTTTAGGGTTTAGGGTTTAGGGTTTAGGGTTTAGGGTTTAGGGTTTAGGGTTTAGGGTTTAGGGTTTAGAACCCCAAAAGAGACCCTACTTGAGAGCGCTACACATTTGGGCCATTGGGGTTTGGAGATATCGGCTCTTTCGGGGTTGAGGGTGTGTGGGTCTTGTTTGGGTTTAGGGTTTGGGGGTTAGGGTTTGGGGTTTGGGGTTTGGGGTTTGGGGTTTGGGGTTTGGGGTTTAGGGTTTAGGGTTTAGGGTTTAGGGTTGGGGACTTATGGGCTGCGGGTTTGCGGTTGAGTTGCTTGGCCAAAAGGCCTGAATTTGTCCTACTTGTCTGCGCAGTGTAGTAACAGAAGAAACCAGGTTTGGGGTTCTGGGAACCCTAAACCCTGAACCCTAAACCAGCCTGGTCCACTGGTTGGATCTTGTTGGGGCTTAGAGGCCCGGCCGGCTTACTAAACTAACTGTAGCTAAGGGACTTACAACCTAATTTAGGATCCTTATAACTTTAGGGCTCTTATGACTCTACTTATAAGTAGGAAGCCCCTCCTTGTACCTGAACTCTACTTGGAAGTTCATGGGTGCTTAGAACCCTTTTTTGTTTAACTCTGCTTGTCTGGGTTTGCCTTTAAGGTTTCTGGGAAATGTTGATATATAGGGCCCCCTATCAACCCAAATAAGGAAAATAACAAATGGTCCGAAAACCCACCTACTGTAGTTACTTATAAGGCCACCTACGTCCTCTAAGTAGGTGATAGGTAGACTTACAATTGCAGTTGTCCGCACCCATGAACTTTCTAGTAAGTCTATCCACCTACAATTATGAAGCAGTCGCCTCTTGAATAGCTGGCAGAACTGCAGGTAAGGAGTTACCTAACCCAGTAACCATATTATGATAAGGGCACCCATTTTTGGGGTTGGTTACTTTACAAGGGATCCTTGAACCAAAAACAGGGAAAAGGGTACCACTGGCCACCAAGGTCAGGCGAATCCAGATGATACTCAAGACGTCGCCACGTGAACAAATCCTCGTGTAGAGGAACCCGCCCGTCCTTGCGAGCTGGTCGCCGGCCCCGCGGGAGATTCACAAGGCCCTCGTCTTCTCGAAGAGCCGCGAACCGCTCCTGGTAAGCGGCCTAGGGGGGGGGCCCCCCTTCCTGTCACCAGACACCTCCATGTCACGCGCTGCCGCGACGTCTTTGCCTTCAAGGAGATTCCAGCAGGCTTGACATGTCAGATCCTCCACAGTGCCCTGAGCTAGATGCTTCTGAAACTCCACCCAGTGCCCTGGGTCTAGCTTGAAGTTCTGCCCCTGCTGGAATTGGGCATGTAAAGAGATGGACATCTGTGCGGCTTGTTGTACCTGGCATCCGCTGTCCAGAACAAGCTGCAGGGCCACCCTAAACCCTAAGCCCCAAACCTAAACCCTACACCCTGGACCCCAAACCCCAAACCCCAAACTTTTACATTCAGGGCTCTCAAAGCCCAGTGGCGGTGGATGCGAAGCCGTTCCCGAGCTTCAGAGGGTTCCTCGCCGCGCCCCAGCTCTAAACCGCAGACCCTAGACCTTCAACTCTATGGTTTAGGGTTGAGGTTCTTTTTTTAGGGTTAGGGTTCAGGGTTTAGGCTTTAGGGCATAGGGTTCAAGGTTTAGGGTTCAGGGCTATTAGGGTAGCTCAGGAACCATACTATCACAAGGACACCCGTTGCGGCATTGATCACTTCTACAAGGGAGCCCGGACCCAGGACCCCGGACAAAAAAAGGGCTAAAGCGCTCCACTCAGCTACTGGTACCAAGAACTCTGAAGCCAAAGCCACATGTTGAGCCCAGGGGTTTTGGGGGCTTCTCCCCTTCCTGTGCAAGCCCTTTGATGGCTCCTGGCACTTAAGCCCAAACTCCAAACCGGGGAGAGTTTAGAGGGTTTCGGCCTCCTCCCCCCCCCCCACCCCCAAACCCGCAAACAGCTGTGCCAGAGTTGGGTGGAGAAACTGCAGGGTATTGTCTGATGTATGGGATGGTTTGGAGCCTAAGGCCAATAGCTCCCAAACCCTACGCACTTGCGGAATCATATACTTCCCCACTTCCCACAGAAGAAACAATGTTAAGCGCGCTCATTGGACCTTCTGATTGACCCCTAAATCCTGAACCCGAAGTCAACCCCAAGAACGCCCCTAGACTTAGACCCCATAGCCCCTGCAGGCCAGGCACTTCCCGAAACCCTACGCGTCCTTGTGTGGGGGGTTCAGGGGGTGGTAAGGGTTTAAGCCTTACAGGTTTAGGGCTTGGGGAGGGGGGGGGGGGGGGGGCGCGGGCACCACAAACTCTTGTTGACCCAACCGGCCCTGGCACGCTACTGGCCTATTTTAGGCTGCACGCATATCATACCCTACACTTTGAGTTTTTTGCCTGGTAGTTTCGCTACAGGGTTTGGGACTACATTCGAAAGTGCAACCCGAAACTCTAAACCCTAAACCTAAACCCGAAACCGCGTTGAAGATAAGCTTCCAATAGAGCTTCTTCATCGCCTTCCTCGGCTTCACCTGCGATGACAGGACTTTTTCATCCCTCAGCGCGCGGTAGTTTCGACTTCGGGCGTCTTTTTGCAGGCTCTTGTGGGTTCAGGGTTTAGGGTTTAGGGTTTAGGGTTTAGGGTTTAGGGTTTAGGGTTGAGGAGCTACTGAAAAAATGCTTGCGATACGGGAATCGTGCTTTCCAAGAGCGCCCGAAGACGGGGAAAGACGTGGTGACACGTCGAGCACATGGTCCCCACTTGGAGAGTTAATTTGCGCTTATGGCCCCAATCAAACTGTACTTATCAGCTCCCTGCAGCAAGTTCTCTAGTTAAAGTAGGTCATAGGTAGACTAAAAATAATTGGGGTTATAAGCACCCATGAACCTCCAAGCAGGATGTTGCTAGATCTTAGTAGGTTCTGAGGGAAAGAGATACCTTTGTAACTTACTTCTCACCTCGGTCCAGTAACCATATGAAAACAAGGGTACCCGTTTGGGGTTGGTTATACTTTATAAGGACCTTGATCCAAGAATAGGGTAGAAGGGCACCACTGGCATACCGAGCCAAACGCCCTGTTAAGAACCAGCATTGCCTTCCTCGGCCCAAATGGTAGCCACATTGAAGTAGGTTTATATTCCTTGCATCCCCAGAAGGGCACCCAATACATACAAAAGGGAACCTTATATACACTCACCAAAAACAGAAATATATACCCTGCTTCAAATGCACAATAAAAGGATTGATGGTTCAGATACCTTCTTGGTAGTCCAATAAATATTGCTCACCAAGAACAGTTAAAATAAACCCTGGTCCACGTGGCCTCAGGCATTCGAGGTGCAGCGCCCGGTGCGTCGTCTTGACCCTTGCCCTTGCCTCACAAGCGGTTTAGGGTTTAGGGTTTAGGGTTTAGGGTTCAGGGTTTAGGGGTAGAGAGGGGATGGGGCGAAGGATTGAGTATTTAGAAACGGGGGCAAATTGGCGTGGGGGCTCGTCATGTCTTTGGCAGGACTTGCAAACTGGCCTGGGGGTTCTGGGCTTTCGCATCGGTTTCCGTAGCCCTACATACCTTTTTTTCGCGCGATACCTCCTGTTCTGACACGCTCAAACGTCAATGGCCTTTCCCACAGCACCCCCAACAAGCTCCGAACTCTAAACTCGACGCCTGGTTTAGGGTGTAGGGTCGAGGGTGCCCTCACTACCCCAAAAGCCCAAATTCCCCGCCAAGATCCCAAATTCCAGAAGCGGACACCCGAATCGAAATTTTGGGCGTTTCGACCTTTACTTGTGACACACTCTGACTTTGCGTAAGAAGATGAAAATGCTACATTAATCCAATGAAATATTTCTTACAATGTTTTCCCTTCATTCTTTAAGCCTTTGGAAGGTTTTTGCTCGTGCCCAGAAGCAGTTTAAATCACCCCCCCCCCCCCAAAAAAAAAAAAAAAAAACGGACACAGCAAAAACCAACAAATCCAAGTTATTGGAAAATGCAACCTGACCTGAAAGTTCAACGTTTACTGGAAACATCCCGGATATGTTTGGTCGCGTCTGTCCCTGAAAACAACAAAAGCCTTGGAATGTTCGATACTTTCGGTGCGCGAGCACGAATAAGGGACTGGAACGAAACACTTGTAGGTGTGATTCCGGAGACATCCGCAAGCAAGAACCTGAAGGCCGAACTATGCCGAAATCAACCCGTGGGATTGGGAGAGCAAACTAATCCTACTTTTTTGTATGTTGCTAAACCCTAAACCCTACACCACCGCAGGCCTTTTGGCGGGGCCTTGCTTTTGCCCGGGGCTTTGCCTTTCCTTGGCTGACTTCTGCACCCCTAAATTAAACCCTAAACCCTAAACCCTAAACCCTAAACCCTTCTGCAAAACCCAAAAGGTCGAAGACAAGAAAGCCAAGTGTCCCTTTTCCTGGGGAGGCCGGCGATGGGGAGGTCGGCGAAGCCTCGCAAGGAGGAGGGGGCGCAGGGTTGTCTAGGGTTTAGGTGTAGGGTGCAGGGTTTAGGGTTGGTGTTAGGGTTTCGGGTTTCGGGTTTAGTTGTTAGGAAGTTTAGAGCTTAGGGGTTTTGGGCTTGCTTTTGTTTTCGAGCGTTCTTAAAGGTATTGACCTGGCCACACGGTGTGCTTGGTCTCGGGGCAGCGGCCCTTTGGGCCAGCTCCATATGGTTTAACCGGCTCGATCGGGCTCATAGCTGAGAGAAATGCCATTCATTTCCCCAACCCTATGTTAGAAGGGTGTACCCTCAAACAAGACATCGCCAGGTACTTTGACTTGAGGCATTCTTGGACTGGGGTTCAGGGTTTAGGGTTTTGGGCTGAGGGTGCAGGAGTCATTGTTCGGAGTGATCAGTAGACATGTTTCGGATTCTCAGTCACAAGGCCATGTAAAACTGACGTTCAACGTTCCGACCACCTAGTTTAGGGGGCTCCAGGTTCAGGGGGTAAACTCTGAGATCAAGGACAAGTCCGGAAAGATTCCTCAACAATGCTTCTAGGTTCTTTTGGGTAGGGGACTTGAGTAACCCTAAACCCTAAACCCTAAACCCTAAACCCTAAACCCTAAACCCTAAACCCTAAACCCTAAACCCTAAACGGGAGCAGATTGCAAACAATTCCTGAAGCGCACCGGTTCAGGGTTGGGTGTACGAGGCCGGGAGTTTGCTGGGATTTGCTTCCCTCAACCTAAACTCTACAACCCTAAACCCTAAACCCTAAACCCTAAACCCTACACCCCTTCAAAGGGTTCCTGAAGCTAATCGTGCTGTAGGCTGTTCGGCTCGAGGCTCGTGATGCCAAGTAGAGAGCTGCAGGCTCGGAAGTGTTGGGGGTCCGGAACCCTATAAAGGAATCCTACTATTTGGAGGTCTAGATTAGGGGTCCTTCCCCATGTATTCACCGTATGTTGGTTTGGCCCTCTAGGAGCCAGTCGCGCCTCGGACGGCTCTGTCTTTGGGCTGGACGGGTCCTCCTTTGCTTTGTCTTTGTCCTTCTCCTCGTTTAGGGTACTGGGGTTTAGGGTTTTCGGGTGTTGGGGCTTCAAGGTTCTAGGTTATAGAGTCTGGAGGCCTCTCTATCTGTTCCCCTTATACCTTACTACAGCCCGTAGATACCGTCATAAGAACCCCCTACAAAACAGAAACCCTACTTAAAGAGACCACCAAGCAATAGAAGTGCTAGTGTTTAGGGTCTTGGATCTAGGGCAGCCGGGGTCTGCGTGGCTTCGAGGTGTTTAGGGCCTTTAGGGGACAGGATGCTTCGGGTTCTTGGGGTGTTTGCGGCGTAGCGTTCCGGCCGGGCCTACACTTCAGGAGTCAAAGGCATCGATTTTGGATTTGGGGTTTCGGGTGGAAGGTATCGGGCTTGCGGACTTCAATCGGGGCGTTGGGCGCTTCGGGTGCTTGGTGAGAGGGTTAAAGGTTGAACCCTAAACCCTAGACCCTAAACCCTAAACCCTAAACCCTAAGCAGAGCTTCGTGGTCCTTGTCCAGGACGGGCACGGCGTCCTTGCTGGCCTCAGGAGGCTGTTTCTGTTCCTGCCAAGCTAGATCAGGAGCCATGTCATTATAGGGTTCTTAAGCGAGGGTTTAGGGTTCAGGGTTAGCGGGGTTCAAGGGGGGTAGGTACCTTGCGAACCTTGGGGAGGAAGGCTCGCGGGAGTAGTGGGGGAGAATTAGGGAACCTTGGGTTACATATCCGCCCTTGAACCCCGCGAAGGGGAACCCTATACTGTCAGGTTTCCTTGGAAGGCTGTTGCCGGCCCTTACAGGCAGGGCTCATCCTGGGAATTCGGTAAGGTTCTGGCTGGGGCAGGTGGGCTGCAAGCTTTAGGGTTTTCAGCGTTTCTTCGGTAGTTCCGGGCTTTAGGGTTTAGGGTTTAGGGTTTAGGGTAATGGCCAAAGAATCTCGTGAGTTTCCGGGAATTAAGCACTGGAGGGCCCTCGTCAAAGAAACGTTTAGCGGGGGTCTCCGATGAACTGCTGAGTTGGGCTTCTTGGGCGGTCTAGTGTCTACAGGGCTACAGGGCTCAATTAAGGTTTAGCAGGGGGGGGGGAGGGGGAGACCTAAACCCTAAACCCAAAACCCTAAAACCCAAAACCCTAAAACCCCAAAACCCTAAATGAAACCCTGAACCCTAAACTCTAAACCCTAAACCCTAAACCCGAAACCCTAAACCCTAAACCCTTGCCCCAGACAAAAAAAGGTCCTGCGGCTGACCTTCTGCTGCCTTCTTCTGCAAGGCCTCGAGTCGCCTTCTCAAGGCCTCCTCTGGGTAGGGTTTAGGGTTTAGGGTTTAGGGTTTAGGGTTTAGGGTTTAGGGTTTAGGGTTTAGGGTTTAGGGTTTAGGGTTTAGGGTTTAGGGTTTAAGGTTAGGGTTTAGGGTTTAGGGTTTAGGGTTTAGGGTTTAGGGTTTAGGGTTTAGGGTTTAGGGTTTAGGGTTTAGGGTTTAGGGTTTAAGGTTTAGGGTTTAGGGCTTGCGGCTTAGGCACGTCGGGTCAGGCCCAGGGGTTTGGAGCTCTCGTGGCTTAGGGATGGAACCTAATTCTCTGAACTCGAAACCTAGACCCCAAAGCCAAAGCCTTGTGCAGAGGTCGTTCCAAACCCACACGCACACAAAAAAAAAGGCCCAAACAAAAAACGCACAAAATACAGAACACCAAAACCTTAGGGACAATAGATTTAGGAGAACTGGCCACTTGCAAACATAGAATGGCCAACACCTACCCAAAACAATGATAAGACCAACTTGCCGCACGATTGAAACGTGTCGGGATTTGCAGGGCATTGGTGGAAGCGGGTCGTTTCGTGTGCATTACACGCCGTTCACAGTCGACATGGCTACATCTAGGCTTTAAAGTTTAGGCCCAATAAACTGATCGACTTCCAAGATGATAAAACTCTTGTAACCGTCCAAACTGCAGAGCCTTAATGTTGTTCTAGACCCAGGAGTAACCTAGGAAGATACAGGTCGGTTTTTAAAGGGGCTTGTAAGGGAACCGAAACCCTAACAAAACGTAATAATAGGCCTACGCTGGGTCCTAGTGTTCGTCCGAGAGCATTCACCAGGATTGCGTTGCCAGGATAGTTTCTTTCTAATTCGTCCTGTCACCCAGCCTCTGTTTCCAAGCCACGAAGAGCCCACCCTTCACCAACATCCAAAGGTTAGCCAATGAAGATGTTTTTGTCTTGTGCACACTCCGCTCGCTCTTTGCAAACGAGCGCCGCGAAGTGAATTCTTGTTCGGCTTACTTTAATTTGCAGATTTCTTTCCTTTCTACATCCTATTGCTATCTCTTCCACACCACTCTTGGAAACATGAGGGAGGGTGTCCCTGAGGAGGGTGTCCCTGAGGGGAACTTTGGGCGGCTTGTCCGGGCCTATGCCGTCCACTGCTTCAAAAGGCGGCTTCAGAGGCGAAACTACCTGTTGTAAAGGTACAGAGTTACCTCACACCCTCAACCCAAAAGATCCACCCAAACAAATCCTAAACCCTAAACCCCAAACCCTAAACCCTAAACCCTAAGTCCTAAGCCCTAAACCCCAAAACCCGCCCAAGCTCGTCCTCCTCTGCCAGCTGCTCCTTGAACTTGGCACTGCTTGCCTGAAGCGCTTCCTGTCCAGGGGTTTTCAGTGGGTTTTGGGGGGGTTTAGGGTTTAGGGTTTAGGGTTCCTGTCCAGGGGGTTTCAGAGGGTTTGGGGGGGTTTCAGGCTTCTGCGAGGGTCTGCGGGTGACACGCCCAACTACATGCACTCTGCGGTGCAAAAGATGCAAAGCAACACATATACATACAAATCATATATCTACATGAATATAAAAATAGATATTATGAACATATATATGTATATACTGGTATACTTATGTGTATTCTACATATATATATATATGTATACACATGACACATCTATTGAACGCCCGCCTTCAAACTCTGGAGCTCGCGCGGAGACGCCGGGTGTGCCGAGTCGTCGGAGCCCTGTGCGCCGGTCAGAGTCCAAGCTTAGGGACTACTTAGGGTCTAGGGTTTCGGGTGGTAGGGTTTAGGGTTTAGGGTTTAGGGTTTAGGGTTTAGGGTTTAGGGTTTAGGGTTTAGGTTTTAGGAACAGGGTTTAGGGTTGAGGGTTAGGGTTTGCAAATAAGGTGTAAGGTTGAGGGTTTAGGGTTTGTAAATGGGGTGTAGGGTTTAGGGTTTGGGGCACTCTTACCTAGGCCAAGAGTTGTGGTACCTGCCGGGAACGCCGAGTCTTGCTACGGCATGCTGATTCTTGTGTTCTACCAACGGAAAAATTGGCAACCCCCTAAACCCTAAGCCCGAACCCCTAAAACCCTAAACCCTAAACTCCTAAACCATCCTAAACCCTAAGCCGGGGGTCAACTATAGCTAAGGTGTTCAAACAAGCCTCAGGTATCGTACCTCTTCAGCTTACCCGCTTATGCCTCCCAGGACAGCTCGAGTAGGGCGTGGTCAAATTTTACCTCGAAAGGGAGGATATGGTGGTTTCTGAAAATAGGGGTACCCTTTTTGGGGGTCCCTTTTCTTGAGGAGATTCTATTCGCCGTTTTTTGTTTTTTTGCAAAAACAGTAGGTTTCGGGTTTTGATGGTATGCCTTATACCCGGTTCTTAGTAGGGAATGAGAGAATCAGGGCCCGAATATATATCCCTCAAGGGATGATATGGGTACCTCACTCCCCCATTCCCTACAAAGAGCCAGCCAGTAAACCAGAGCCCAAAGTCTAAACCCGAAACCACACGACGGGATCCGGCCTCGTCAGCGCTGCGCAGCGACGTGCTGCCTAGGGCGAGTCCCCATAGAGGGGGGGCGTAGAGGGGACCCTAAACCCTAAACCCTAAACCCTAAACCCTAAACCCTAAACCCCCAATATTAACCCCCAACTTGTAGGATCCCCTTAGAATAGGGACCCCAAGAAGGTGCCCAATTAATTTCGGAAACTCGTAGGGTTTATGGGGTCTAGGGGTCAGGGTGGTATCCCCAAAAGGACATGCATGCACTCCTCACCAATAATTGATGAGGAGCCCAAAAACACTCACCAACGACAACCCCACCTCAATCCTAAACCCCTCTAAGCCCATGCCTAGACCTTGGGGACGAGATGAACCCAAAAAGGGCTTATGGTTGATTTTGCCTTAATAGGAATTATAGTAGTACAGGGTATATGACCCCAATTTTACGGTTCATTTGGTCCCCAAGGGATGAGGTCCGTTTAAGAAGGCGCATTCCCGAAGTAAAGGCTACTGCGGTCCCTGGGATCCTCGAAGCAAGCTCCAACCCCACCAAACCCGAAACCCTCAAAAAACTCCTAAACCATAAGCCCTGAACCTAAACCCTAAAACCCTCAACCCCTAGCCCTAAACCCTAAACCCCATTCCCTTCTGGACCACCAATCTCCCCAGCAGCAGTGCTTCCAAGCAAGGGGCGGGCAAAGTGCGAAGGCCCTTCTGGCAGGTCCTCCTGCGTGACACCTTGTGACCGACGGTTTAGGGTTTAGGGTTTAGGGTTGCGGATTTGGGGGGTGTCCGGGGCTCTATAGCGTTTAGGGTTTGGGGCGGCTAGTGCCTTTTCGAGCGGGCGCTAGGACGCTTGAGTGTCTTAAGGTTCAAGGTCTGAAGCTTCGCTTTGTAGGCTTCGCGCTCAAGGGCGGTAAAACCAGCAACCCTAACCCACCTACCAGACCTCCCTTAGCTCAATGCCAGCAGGCACTGCACTGCCTGGCATGAGATCGACTCCTCCCCCGCTCGAGCCGCCCGCAGAAGGGTTCCTGCCCGATGCATGTACCGCTTCGACATGAGCCAGCGCGTCTTTATTTCCCCATTGACGCTCACTTCACGATGGATTCCCTCCTTGAAGTGGGCGTCAAAGGCAGCCTGTGTCATGCCGCCCCCACGCGATCCCTAAACCCTAAACCCTAAACCCTAAACCCTAAACCCTAAACCCTAAACCCTAAACCCTGGACACTGGTCGCACTACTCGGGACCGAACTGCTCCCAGCGGGGGAATCTGCATTCGGGCCAGGCGCCCGCGCGTGATGCAAGCGTGCTGTGACATTGTCGGCGGCTCTACTTCAGTGGCCCCAGCAACTTAAGACTTATGAACTTAAGGTAGTTATGTTGAACTTATAAGAGGCAGAAGTTATGAACTTAGGGCACAACTTATAAGCATGTTATAAGTAAAAATTTCATAACTTCAGAATAAGCTTTTCTATCGTTTCAGATGTTTGTGTACAATATCAATTATGTGTGGCTTTTGAAGAGAAAACCATTCGCCGCGGCTCCTGTTTTCTTCTTGCGAATTTTATTTTGCGGGGGTTAGGGTCTTTCGGGCCTAAGCCTGGTTTTAAGGTTTAGGGTTTGGGTAGCAGCCCTAGATAAGCCCTAAATCCTAAGTGCATCAACCCCATACCCGGAAATCTACAAGCTACAAGCTTAAACAACGCGGCATTCGGAAATACTTGGTGAAGCTCTTTGCTTCAGGGCTTCTGTGAAGCTCTCGAGGAGCGCAGATCCCGCCTATTGAGCTACGAAGGTTACTGAAGGGTTTGCGTCTGTTGGGCAGTAGGATGAGAAGGTTCACATAAACCCTAAACCCTAAACCCTAAACCCTAAACCCTAAACCCTAAACCCTAAACCCTAAACCCTAAACCCTGCAAACAAAAAGCGAAGCAAGGCTGCCTCGGTGGAACCCGAGGCTCGGTCCCCGAACCCCGTTTAGGGTTTAGGGTTTAGGGTTTAGGGTTTAGGGTTTAGGGTTTAGGGTTTAGGGATATTTCAGAACAAGACGCCAGATAGCACGGAATGGACGGCTGGATCCTGGTCCTGCGCTTAGGGTTTTAAGGGGACCTTTCAAGGGTTTCGAGCGCAGCTCGTGGGAGTTGAGAGGGAGGACAGGGTTTAGGGTTTAGGGTAGATCAGGATACAAAGCCTTCTACTTTGGCACCAATCAAAGCCCAAACCCTGCAAGCTTTAAACCTAGCCCCTGAAACATAGATCCCTGAGCCTTTCGAGTCCTGGGGTCTAGGGTGTACGGTAATACATAGAAAGTTTCAAGGTGCCAGATAACCCTACTTATATCTGCGCATGACCCTTGCTGATAACCCTGCTTATAACTACCCGTGGTTGGAGCTTGGGCCCTTAGTCTGGCCCCTTACCCTGCTTGATAGAGATCCGAAGGATGGGCCCTTAGTATGTATAGTGTATAGAAGTGGTTTTTTCAAGGGGCCCAAATTGAAGGGCCATACTTGGAAGCCTAAATTCAAGCAGGCGCTGCTTTTTGTTTGATGCTTTTGTTGATGCAGCAGCTCGGGGGGCTTCGGTTTAGGTGGGTCAGGCGTC